ACACGATGTTTTGGACAAGCTTTAGCTTTTTAGCAAAAGTGCCCAATTTCAAGCAAAACGTTAACTGCCCAGAGTGTTTTGACGCCAATTTTCAGCAACAGGACAGTTGCGCAGGGTGTTTTGAACAAGGTTTAGCTTTTTAACAAAAGTCACCAATTTCAAGAAAAACAACAGTTGCGCAGACTTTTTTGACGCCAATTTCGAGCAATAAGACAGTTGCGCACTTTGTTAACAATCTAAAACTTGTCCAGAACACCGTGCGCAACTTTCCTGTTGCTCGAAATTGGCGTCAAAACACTCGGTGCAATTGTAGTTTTTCTAGAAGTTTGCGACTATTGTTAAAAAGCTAAGACTTGTCCAAAACACCGTGCGCAACTGTCGTGTTGCTTGAAATTGGGGTCTAAACACTCTCCGCAACTAACGTTTTGCTTGAAATTGGCGACTTTTGTTAAAAAGCTAAAATTTGTCCAAAACACCGTGCGCAACAGTGCTGTTGCTTGAAATTGGCCGTTTGACATAAAGCCTGTGCTAAATTGGCATCAAAACGCTATGCGCAACTTTGGTTTTGCTTAAAATGTGCTCCTTTGGTTAACAACAGGAGGAAAACATAAATCTTTAATAAAAAACGAGAAAACAAAAACCTGAAAAAATATTCTCACCGTTTCACCTAAAGCTTGTGGGAAAGAGGGCTCGCAACTGTCAATTTCCCTAAATTGGTGTGTGTGGTCAATAATATCCAAGAAATTCGATTTGCTGTTTTAGATAAAACTTGTAAAAAGCAGCTTGCGCAACCGTGGTGGTGCTCGCAATTGGCCTCAAATCACTCTGCGCAACTGTCGTTTTGCTTCAAATTGGCCCGTATTGTTCGGAAGGTAAAGCTTGTGTGAAACACCGTGCGCAACTGTCCTGTTGCTCGAAATTGGCGTCAAAACAGTCTGCGCAACTGTCTTTTTGTTCGAAATTGGCCACTTTTGTTGAAAAGTCAAACTGCCAATTTGAAGCAACAGCACTGTTGCCCAGGGTTTTTTGGACAAATTTTAGCTTTTTAACAAAAGTCGCCAACTTCAAGGAAAACGTTAGTTGCGCAGAGTGTTTATGCCCCAATTTCAAGCAACAGGACAGTGGCGCACGGTGTTCTGGACAAGTTTTAGATTGTTAACAAAAAAAAGCCAAGTACAAGCAAACCGTTAGTTGCGCAGAGTGTTTAGACCCCAATTTCAAGCAACACGACAGTTGCGTAGGGTGTTTTGGACAAGTTTTCGCTTTTTAACAATAGTCG